AAATAAATGCATAAGCTTTGGGTGCATTCATATAATTAGCCGTTGATTTGCAATTTTTTAAGAGTTTAATTAAGACCAAGGCTGTTTTTATTTAGAAAAAAAATCCAAAAATTTTGACACGTAACTTATCCTGGACAATATTCTCAAAAAAAGGTTCGTATTTTGGTATCTTATACCTGAGTGTTTTTGTTTTAATATTCATGCACAAAAAATACCTAATAAAAACAAAATACAACAAAGATATTCTACCAATATCAGTTTCGTCCGTTCACGTTTTTGATATACTATTTTTTAATTTACGCCGCAACTAATCTAATTATTTCGCCATTTACTCGCTCGTGGTCCTATTGAGTAATTCTAGATTCTGAATTGCGAACACTAGGCAATGCTAGGTAGGCACAGCTATACATTTACTACATTCACCTGTATCTGGGTTGTTAACTCTCAACAGAGAAGTGATGGTTTTAGGCAATTGTTGTAAATATATGTTTGTTAACAAATGCCTTAGAGGTCAGACCATGCAGGTATATTATGTATGTAGTGATATTCACGTTTCCTGATATTACGCTGTAGAGTAAATTTTGTATGTAGGTATAATTTTGATTTAGGTATGTACTGAAAATCTCCCTATTATTTCTGACTTTCTGTTTTAAAAAAAGTTTATTATTAACACATTAAACGCCTTGGTGATCATCGATGACCGACATTAGCGGAGGATTTGCCACCAACAGATTTTTATTGGCAGTTAAAGCCTTAGAAGAATTATATAAAGCAATCTCTTGTTGACTGAGTGATCAAAAACGTGGCTTCTAAACATAGTTCATAAGTTTAATCCATATATTTCAACATTTTGAAGCAGGTTACTCACGCGAATATACTGAAAAAAGCGCTGCTAGTTTCGAACCACTGAGTAACCCGCAATTTTTAGTTAATTTAGTATGTCTCACGAATGTTATTCTAAAAACATCTCGAAGCAGCTCGCTCAGACACCAAAACTCAAAAAGAACATCAAACAATTTCATATTTTAAACTAAGTATAAAACTTGTAAGAGCCCAAATGTATCTTATACCATTGTACCTATCTCAAAAAGCACACTTCTCCAAAACTCACCTAAAAATCCCATTCCATAATGTTACTCGTATGTTAAGTAATTTGTCAACAAAATGGGCCGAACCCCACACGTGGTTGATTGATGTTAACTATCCAAGATCAGACAGTAACCAAAATCCCAAACCTGACTAGTGATTAGTTCCACACGCATCTTAAACATGGAACGAATGGATGAGACGCTTGATTTGAATAAAAGTAATTTAGTACTATTATTATTACTCACTACTGAGTGGATCCCACGCAACGTCAGTAGACATCGCGGTACGCCCTGAAGGAGAAGGCGGGATAAACTGCACGCCTATTAAAAGGATAGGCCACAAAAAGCTATAAGAAGAGATGAGTGCAAGGAGGGTATGGAGGCATTTGCATTGTAGTGGGATGACCATGGTTAAAAATAAAATAGAATAATATTCTTATTAGAAATAAATAAAAGTTGCAAGTATCCACATGGGTGTCTTCAAATTCCGAGTGAGTCCCAAGTGGCTTATAGGTGCCTATAACCTAAGAAGAAGCCTCACACAGAAGTCAATCGATAATTTTCCCCCTTTAAAAAAAATCATGGAAATTAGAATCCCTCTTGTGATAAAAAAGACCATAATCCAGTAGGTAGTAGACCGTCATGGACCGAGGATGATGACGATGAACATAATTAGGTACACTTTCTTCACAATTACTTGAAACCTGAACTTTGAAGGTCTAATTCGTACAATAATGCATTCAATTAACTAAACAACTAATTATTGATGAACATACTGACTTCAAAACTCCTTTAATTATAACCGAATGACCCAGATAGTTAATAAATGCGGAAAATTACATACTATGTAATTGAATGAACGTCAATCAAGCTGTTTGTTTGTCAATAATGCAATGGAGAATGTGTATCAAGTTACATGTAGGTATGAAAACAAAATTTAATACTATTTGGTAATAATTGATTCTTGTTTATATTTGTCATGTTGTCAATATGATAGATGATATGCGAATTATTTGGGCAAGACGTTTCATCGATGAGACGCCGCGTCGACGTCAATGTTGAATGGTTGCGACCGGAGCTAAGGACGATCTAGCAAATTGCTGGGCCTCGAAGCACGAGTAGGAACGCAGTGGTTTTTAGCCAGTAAGAGTGTGACACTATAACCCATCTCAACACGGGAGAAGTTATTGGTTGAAGTTCTGGATTTTCCCCCCTCAAAAAGCCAATAAAATGATAGCAGAAGCTATCAATAGAAAGACAATGATTTCTTAGAATACCACATCCCAATCGATCATGAATATAAGCCCCTGGTGATACACATATATCTATATATTTAATGGACCGACGTTTGACCACTATCTCGCCTCGTGGTAAGCGGTGATGCGGTCTACGATGGAACTTACACGTGTGGTATGATGTGTCTGGGAACTATTCGAGTTCCTCGTCAAACATTGTTATTATATTAATAACTAGCTGACCCGGCAAACTTCGTCCCGCCTCAATTTTTTTTTCTCACCTTTTAATCCTTCCCTGGACTTCCACGAACATTTCAAGACCAAAATTAACCAAATCGGTTCAACCGTTCTCGAGTTTTAGCGAGACTAACGAACAGAAATTCATTTTTATTTATATAGATAGATAACACAATTCGGTCTGAATGCACATCACTTACTTGTAGATACTCATTGCCAGATAATTAGGTGGCTGATGTAGGGTCACAGTTGAACACATTTAGGGTAGGTACACGTCAACCTATGCAAATCCAGTATAAACTGACCTTCAAATATTCGGAATGATCATACAAAGTGGGTCCACGATAAACTGGAATGTTAAGCTCAATTTGTGTAAGATCTACTTATTGTCTGTCAGTACTTTGTAAATAACAACAAAGCCCAGTATTTAGACTACTTCAAAAATAGAAGATGTTTCCCAATTCGACCGTATTATACCCCTTTCTATCTACTCTATACAATAATTAGAATGTAGGTAATATAATTATTTTTATCTACAATAAATATCATTTTAGTTCATTTAAAATAAAAACTTCTGATAATTAATACAATTTTGTCCTAAATTTCAACGTTTTTAACTTTAATATTATTATTTATTTTACTTAAAATAAACAATAGATTTCACACACATTTAAAAAAGACAAATTATTTCTGTAGCAATCATGCTTGCATTTGTAATTTCAAATAGTTATTAAAATAAATTTGAGATTGTTTAGAAGTGTCTGGATTTTATTTTATTATAAACATGATTGCAACATTAAATGAAACTATTCACCACACAAAAAAAACAATCATACATGATACAACAAATCAACACTACCATACGTTGCCGTTGGCAGTTCCTAGCGCCATCTATTAGCCGCGCCTCTGCAACATTTTGTTAGTGAACGCGAACGCGTATTTCGACAACGCTTGTATGTGTCAGGATGGCCGAGCGGTCTAAGGCGCCAGACTCAAGGTTTCCTTGCCTGTCAAACAGGTCCGAGTTGTTCTGGTCCTCTCTGAGGGCGTGGGTTCGAATCCCACTTCTGACAAAACTTTTTGTTGATTTTATTTCACTTTTTCGTGATGTTTAACGCATTTTATTTGACCTTTTTCGTGATGTATATCGAATTAAAGTGCTGTTCCGTTCTATAGAATCAGTGTCAATTGATTATGTAATGAATTCCGAATTGTGATCTCGATTTCTGATTTTAGTTGTGTAACTAAAACTACCGGTGATTTGAATGACATAATTGTATGACAGTATTTATAACGAGTACCCACTAACTAAATAAATGGTTAAAAATATAAATACACCTTCAATTAATTCGACTGTTTACATAATTTGAAAAAGCAATGTTGGCGATGTTATTTCGAAAAATGAAATAATTTTAAGTTGTACTTACTTAAATGTCGTCTCTGTCATTTTATATACAATTTAATAGTGACAAAATAATAAACTATAGTGCGATTTAAAGTTGAGTGGCGTTTGAGTATTTCGACATTAGGATTTCTACCTATAAATTTTACGAATCTCATGAACTCACACCTTTTCCCTACAGGGGCAAGCAGGTACAATACAAAAGGCACCATTTGGCTCACAGAAAAGAGAAAAACCATTATTGTGTTCTGTGGTTTTATTACAATTCTTGCATTTCTTTAATCTCCTTCAGACTAAAGTTTTTACCTAACGACCAATGTGTACTTGCATTATTATACGTACCTAGTCTTAAGTTCGTGACCTTAGTGTTTCGACGTATTTAAAGGTGTGTCAATGTACTAAGAAGTGTATGAAATAGTTATAGGTATATCTACGTTCAGTATAAGTACACGGCAGCAATTCAAGCTATACGAATATATATTTTTTCGATTTTGGATCATAACTTCTGGTAATAATGTTGAAGTTCTATTGAAAGAATTTCTATTTTTATGGTACCTACCTACCTAGATTGATAAATCGGATTACAACTTTTTAAAGAAATGCTTTTTTTGTCATCAATATCAAAACAACGTTTGTTAGGTAATTAATAAGGCATCTACCTACCCACGAATATAACAAAATAAATGTTCCAAACACACACGATATTGCTACTATTCCATATGAACTGAGACACGAAATCCAACCATATTCCAAGTCACCGAACGTCTATTATTGTCTGCATAAGTGCAGTGCGTGTGCAATACTTCTCATTCAAATCACATCTGAGGGCTTAGTACGAGTTTCTTTTTCGGTTGAAGTAATTGAAACGACTACTCGTTCGGCGCTGTGATTGGTTGGTTCATTGGTGCCGGCCAATCAGAGTGCCGAACGCATACTCGTTTCGAATACTTTAAACGTAAATCATACTCGTACTAAGGCCTCTGTACACAAGAATTTCGACCTTATTTCATTAACTATAAAGTATTTTATTGTATACAGGTGTGCAGTGCGTGTGTGATGGTACGGACGCACACGGTGCTGCTGCTGGCGGTAGCACTGTGCGGCGCCGCCACTACGCTCGACTCCGAACTCGGGTTAGGCAAGGCGATCAACATATTTATGAGGTGAGAACTACCAAATATACTTACACTAGCAACCCGGTGCGGACCTGCGGACGGCGAGCATGGGTGGTTCCCCGTCCGACCAGAAACAGATCCGAGCGTATGGCGCGTCAAACAGCCATCAGACCACCACAGATGGGGCCCAATAGGGCCGATGCCGATTCGGAGTCGCGGAGAACCTAACGGGTAACCGGGGCTCCGGCTCGACGTGCAGGAGAAGGAACGGGGTGGTTTTTAGTCAGTAAGAGTCTGACACTCCCTTCCGCCTCACCCAGGCGGGAGCAGTCATTCGATGATTTTCCCCCCTTAAAAAAAACACTAGCAACCCGACCCGGCTTCGCACGGGTACAATATGCATGTATTATACACACAAACAATCTTTAAGAATCACTCTATCTATTTAAAAAAACCGCATCAAAATCCGTTGCATACTTTTAAAGATCTAAGCATACATAGACATAGGGATTTTGTTTTATACTATGTAGTGATTACTATCCCTAAATCTCTCAATCTTCAAAACCCTTCAAAAAGCAGTGTAAGTTCTTTTGACTTCTCTTATGTTATTGTCCAAGGGCGGCGATTGCTTACCATCAGGTGATCTATAACTGTATGCTTGTTTGCCTGCTATCTGCTATAAAGAAACAAAGTCTTCAAATATTTCACTACTTATAAAATAGACCAAAATATTTTGATAAGATTATTATTAATCAATTTCTCATCATCTTCCAGATATGGCTACCTCAGCATCTGTATGCGGGTGGTCCCTCGCAACGACACGGAAGGCTGGGTGTTCAGAGAGCCCACAGTCTCCGTGTTCAGGGAGGTGGAACAGTTCTCCATCGCGCCAACTCCTCGTCACGCGAAGACACTCTTCGACGGAGACTTCCACATGGAGTTCTGCGATAACCTGAAGCAGTTGCTGCAGGCTTACTTTAGGGATTTTAGCTTTGAAAGGTACGGGTGACGGTGACCATGTTTATGTCTACTTTTATCGTCTTTTTAGGCTCGCAAAGATGTACTGTGACCAAGTAAATTAGAAAATGCGTGGTAAGACCAAATTTATTCAAGTTTTTGTTAAGGAAACTACAACCAGTAAGAAATTACATTAATAATACCTTTTAATACTCACCTGGAGTTTAAGCCTAACAGGAGAATAAAGTTCCATCCACTGCGTATGCAATTCCATGGTATGCGACTGTTTCTACACTCGTTCTGAAAATATTCTCATGGATATTTCATCCTACCTTTTACAAAACCAGCTTGAATCCATGACATGTTTAGGTCCTTGGAACTGTTACAAAAACGTAAGTAATCTACTACTTATCCTTTTAATCAAAATAGGACAATCTCAATTAATATTCCTATTCATGTATGCTTCGTCTAAAATTATTGATTTGAACACTGAATTTTGACGTTCCAGACTGGAGCGTCCATGGCGTGCATTCACCGCTGGCTGGCCGACGGACATCATGGCCAGAAACCTAGGCATCAACTCTTCCTTCATCAATGGAGATCACTGCTACGTTCTTGTTAGAGTTTCCAGGTAATTTATCACTTTATGGACTACTAGCTTTTACCCGCCGCTTCGCTCACGTCACAAAAGGATAAAAAGTAGCCTATGTGACATATACCAATACATACAGCGCCATCTATACCAATACTTTTGTTTTCCCTCGGGAATATCAAATTTTTCCGGGATAAAAAGTACCCTATTATTTAATACGGACTTCTAACTTTACGTTTCCAAAAATTCAAAGCAATCGGTTTAGTAGTTACGGAGTGAAAGCGGAACAAACAAACAAACTCACTTTCCGATTTATAATATTAGTAAGGATTCAAATTTTCGAAAGGATGTTACCTAAATCATCAATCATCTTTCGCCCTGAGTGAAGCCAGAGAGAATGTCAGACTCTTACCGACTAAAAACCATCTCGTTCCAACTTCTGCTTCGTGTCATAGCCTCCGTACCGGCTATCTGTCTGCAACCCTGGCTTTCTTTCTGATACTTGGACAAGCAATAGTCAAACAAGCATGATGACATTGTGCTAAATTCTCTTTTTACAAGAGGTGGTTTTGCTGCTAGAAAATCTTTCATTCATCAGGGAAATAGTTTTATTTTGCTCGAAAATAAAACCCTCACAGCAGGCCTCATTTCGAGCCTAACGGGTTACCGGGGCTTCGGCTCGAAGAGCAGGAGTAGGAACGGGGTGGTTTTTATTCAGTCGAAGTGTGACACTCCGAAGTCATTGGATGATTATCACCCCTCAAAAAAAAGGGCTCAATTCAATCTTAAACCAACAAGGTATTACTTAAGTAAAATAAGCACCTAATTTCAAATGTTACTCTATGATGTTCCAGGTTTCGTGAAACAGCCAAATTGAGTGATTTGCCAGGGAATATAGCCGTGGAGGATGTAGTCTATGACGCGATACAGGAGGCCAACATAGGCGACACAGCATCCATCGCTGATTTTATTAGAAAGTACGGTTCCCACTACATTGCGTCGTATATCACTGGCAACTCGTTATATCAGGTACCTGTTGTTTGTTTAATTTTATTCTTAAGCCCCTTTCAGTAAAATTTGGGGTTTTAAATTAATGATCAGTTAAAATTCTTAAATATGGTTAATGAAATCGTGACTTAAAGGCGACTAAAATAGCTACTAATCATTAGTGTATACCTACCATACGTATAAAGTAAGTGTGCAAGAAATGGGTATTAAGGAAAAGTTTATTTAGCCCCAGATTGAGAACTACAATCGACTCTATGCCAGCTAAAAGAATTTCTAAATCGAAAAGCTCGCCCTATGAAATCTTACCCCTGAATTTATATACTCACTATTTTCATAATGAGATATGATACTTAAATAAGTGTCATAGAATTGATTACTATTTTAGTGTGTAAGTTTGACCTTAAACTGAAATTAAACTATCTAACATGTTTACAATACTCCAGGTATTTGTGTTTTCCCGTGGCGTGTACACCAGGATTAAAGAACGCGTCAAGTCCCGAGGTATCTCTGACATACCGATCTCTGAGATGAACAACTTCTTCTCTCCACTCTTCGCCGAACATGTTGGCGCTGTCAAGGTTTGGACTGTGTGTCACTTGGAGCCTGATTCTACATGCATTCTGGATGCATTTGTTGATAGGTCTATATGTGTAATCTGCGATTTAAAAGTGCTTTTTTTGATTTTATTTTCAGTAGCAAAGGCCAAAGTTTCTAAATGATTTTGATTGTAACGTGTAAATTCTTCCTTAAGTATCTTATAGACCCCGTAGTATCGTTATACCTACATTATTAGTCGCTAAATTAAGGAGCGAGTCGATAGAAGTTATGCATGCTACTTAATGTACTTACGTGCTAAAATCAAGTTTTATTGATCGAAAGTTTTATTAATAAAGCACTGAATTTAAACTAGTATTCTTTGGCCTTTCTTCAGCGTTATCCAAAAAGTGTAGAATCAGGCTAGACAATGCATGAACCATCCATACAATACACCATCTCTACCAATCATGGATGACATTATGCATTAATTCATAATCGACAAACTTCTTTTCATTCATTTCATACGAATTTAAATCATTGTCATTATGCATGAGCATCGTCATGTACTTTGCATACATTCTCTCTCCTTCTCTATTTCTTATCATTATTTTTATCATCATCATAATCATCAGAATGTCTGTCATTATGATTATATTTGTCATATTAAACGTACCTAAATAATACAAGTTAAATTATAATTTGATTAGGTATTAACGTATGTAATGTATGATAAATTAAATATTTGGAAAGATAGATGAAAATATAAAGTTAACTAGATCCCTAACGTAACGAGATTTAGGACATTCTAATATTACCGATGTTAGAATGTCCTAAATCTCGTAAGACGGTAAGTACCTAAAGCAAATCTACTTCAACTGGTTAATTCCCAAGCGGTCACCGGTGACCGCTCTCCACCCACTGCATTATCAACTTTATTTCTGATGTTTAGAGTGTTACTTTTGTATTGATTTTCGGTACGATATCTCAAGTAATTAAAATTCATAAAAATGGATACAAGGGTATAGACCAAAAACATAAATACCTAAGTATTTAATTCAACACAAAGTCAGTGTGACTTATTTCCACTTTGACTAAGATACAGAGATGGATAGAACTTAATAAGAAAGAGAGAGAATATTCCAATTCCAACGCAACAAAAAGAGAGAACAAATAAAATAAATGAAAAGAAGTTTAGACCACAGTCTAACCTCGACACAACCCTGGGGTACACGCAACAAAATTTTAAAATTAGAATAGAAACATGATATCTTGTCTATGCTCTCACTCCAGGTATTTGTGTTCTCTAGAACGGCATACTCTATGATCAAAGAGAGGTTAAAAAGTAAAGGGGTAGCTGATATAACGGCTAAGGAACTTGAAGGATACTTCTCACCATGGCATGCCAAGCATATAGGCCAGATAAAGGTAATATAAGCAAACATTATCGAATTGTACTAATTTAGCCTTTCGTCCTATATTTTATCCAATCGAAATAATTGTTAAAAATTGACTGTTCAACAAATTTGACACTAGGATTTTTTTAAGAAACTCATGCATTTTAGCGCCATCTATGGAGCATACTGACGCAAGCCCTCGTTATACGACTACTTTGCTGTTATCTGTAATTGAAGTTTTAGTTTTGCGCTAGCTAGATGGCGCTTTTGCAGTAAAGTTCTCTTCATTCATTACAACACACTCATTGCATTAAAATTCACTAAAATATAGTCATAAACCAATTTTTTTCAAGTTCAATTTCTCTTCATCATTTTCAATCATTGCATTGCACGGGTCATTCGAAATGTTTTTTTTTGTATCTGTCAAATTCGACATCATTTAAATATTTTCTTTTCCAGGTGGCTAGTGGCAATAAAACTGTAGAAAACTGGGCGATGAAGCGCCTAAGGGTTCACTACTACATTTTCTCATACCCCAGCTTACTAAAGCTGCATGGAGAACCCTCTTTACTTAGGAGTCTGGACACCTTACTAGGAAACGAAGCCTTATTGCAGTTAGAATTAAAGACTTTATCCCCTGCATTTAAGGACGTGAAGAAGAAGAAATGGTTTGAAGAAGTCATAGACAATTATTTAAAACTTTGGGAAAGTAACATGTGACGTAACGTTAGTTAATATTTTAATTAAATAGTGAATATTTTATGAAGAGATGTTGGAAACTGATTAGCTATTAATGTCAGCATTATTTTTGAAGAAAATGTTTGACATTAACAGGGCTGGCTGTCCCGACAAAATAGGGACAAAATACGGTCGTTAAGTCGTGAACTTTAAAAGATTTTCAACCTTAATGTTTAGTTTAAGAGTTGTAAATCTCTTATTGTATTTCTGACTTAGCAATTGAATATATTTGTTAAAATTTCCAGCCCTTAGCTAATCAATCTAATTGAAACAATGCATAAAAGTGACCATTTTTAGCAACTATTAAAAAAACAACGAACATATTTATTTTATTGTGAATTTTGAATTAAAATGATGTAGTTTTTAAGTACAATAAAATTGAAATGTATTCGTTAAGAGAATTGTGATTACTTAATAAACTAATAGATTCACGAATTGTGGTCAAATAAACAAATTAATGCTATCTATATCTGAATGAAGTGAATCGAATTTTGAACGACTTGCATAAATATAAATAACTATAAACTGTATTTTTGTACATATTATATTATCACAGTGTGCCTTAATTATATTCTTCCAAAATTATTGAATAAAATATTTACAAATGCATTATTATAAACATATGATTCCACTGCAGACGAACTCTTTAAATATTTTCTATACAATAAAGAAAAAACATTATTCATCACAAATCAACTACAACACGTACAAATATTTATTGAATTTGAAATGTAAGTTAGCGGTAGGTCCAGAAAAAAAATGAGATTCCTTATCTTCCTTTCGATAAAACTATACAACAAAAAAACAAAACACTTTTTTTGTCTATGATTCATTCATTAGTCCACAAATTGAACGCTAGAGGCGCTGCTATCGTTAAAAGATGTTAATGTTGATAGAAAATAATGTTTTATTTTTCAGTTCGACTGTCTGCATTGGAATCAAAGTTTCAGAACCTTTTAAAAAGACTATTTAAAAAAACAAATCTGTCCATTAATGTAACTTTTAAAATATTTAAATGACAATAAAATATAGTTGTAAAGTGCAATAAGAGATTTCGCGACGCGAATGCGAGATCAAAAAACTGTATGCATTTAGTTTCGAATAAGTAGTTAAATTATAAGTTTTAATAATTAAGGTGGTGTAAATATTATTATTTCGATAAATTAATTAAAGTTATTTTGTGACTGAGGTTGTTGTATTTTTTATGATGAAATAGGACCCCGACAATGAACATCATGGAAACCAGTAATTGGCTTCTTGTTGCATACCACATTCTTTTTAATCAAATTGTATAGCTGTTGGTTTTCCAAATGTATAAATAAAATAAATAAATAAATAAATCATCAATATTTTTTTGTAGACTACGTTTATATCAATCCCCTCTTTTTTGAAGTAGTTTAATTTATACACTAAAATCTTCACCACCACTAAGTTGATGTATAACATAACATCACGCCTTTTATCCCCGAAGGGGTAGGCAGAGGTGCACATTACAGCATATAATGCCACTTTACAATGTAACACCCACTTTTCACTATTTATGTTATGAGTCCCTATTGCCATATACCGGGCACAATTCCAGACTCCGTGCCACTACTGAGATTAAAAAAAAACAAGTACTACTTTGCGTAACCAGTAATCGAACCCGACACCCATTGCTCGGCAGTCGCAATTGCGACCACTCGGCCAACGAGGCAGTCTTGTTATATAGTTTATTATATTTTCAGTTAAAAAACAGAACCTTTTGTTACCAAATGCCTCTGTAATTGAGACCATTATAATTAAAAATGACTGTACCTATATACAATCTAAACGTGGTTAACCAAACACTTCGCGGGTTCAAAGACCTAGTGTTATCTGATAACAATACCCAGTAGTTTCTCAATGAGCTGTTTAGTACTCTAACAATGTACAGTCGCACATCACTATCCTCAACAGCAAATTCCTTCAGTCAATTTTAAACTTTATGCCTTGTGCTATAGAGCTGAATGTACTTTAAAGAATTTTGTTAGTATGGTATAGGTTAACGTGCTGTTAGTTAATAACGGGATATGTACGCGGAAGCGGAAACGAGGACAATCTGTGTTCCTAGCTGGATACTGGATAGTGTCAATAATATTATGTTTAGTTGTAATTTATCATGGGTTAGTGGTTATGGACATGCGCTGGGATTTATACTTTTATATGACTCATTGTATCTAGTCACAAAACAGTAGTGTGAAGCTACTTTTGAGTTATGTATTTGTTTCCAAATTCTTCTATTTAAATACGAAAACAGAGTTATCTTCGACTTAACCCAGGCAGTTCGACACTTGACACTTTTGATTTCAAAAAAAGACGCCTGACATTTTCTGCTGAACAAGATGGGGGACAAAATGCTGCTAATAACGATAACTGTACACTCATCATGTAGGTAGTAGGTATTAGACTATATTTTTCGTTTTTGAAGCAATGAATGAATTATACTTTTCGGTGGATCGAACACATATGGAGAGACTGCTGACGTGCTGAAAGAGACATCCGGCGTCAAGGATTTAAGACCAGCTCCTTGAGCACTGGTTTCCTACATAGGTAACTATTCACCACCTTGTTATGAGTATTCCTGTTATGTAATAACCAAAGGATTGGGGACAAAATACTGCTAATAACGATAACTGTACACTCATCATGTTGGTGGGTAGTAGGTAGGTAGGTAGTGTAGTAGATAGAGATGTCCAATTCTAAAGAAAGGTCTTCTTTATTGATCTACCTACAAGCCGAAGTTATCGAAGTCTGCACTCATTTGAATACAAAATCAAAGTTTTAATATTTAAACGAACGCAAATAAACTTAAACAAGTTCTATAATTATAACAAACACAACCGTCGAATTCACAAGTGTTCACAAGATAAGGCTTAATTCACACAAGAGGTGAGCTCGGGTTATCGCACTCGTGAATGAAGTCGTCTGTACAAACCTTGATTTTAGTCCACCAATTTAATATAGGACATTAATATAACTTGGTTATTCCGCAAATTAAGAGATGCTAGCTGCACGCTCGCGACTTCGCCTGCGTAAAAATTTTCTCTTTTCTCTTTCTATTTTTGAACAACGTTGCCCCACACTAGGATATGGGTGCGTTTGCAAACATACAAGTTCACATACACAGGACATCCAGCCCTGGAATACACAAAGAGTTTCTCCGTGCAGGAATTCGATACGGAGCCGCGGAAAACTTAACGGGTCACCGGGGCTCCGGCTGGAAGTGCAGGAATAGGAACGGGGTGGTTTTTAGTCAGTAAGAGTATGACACTCCCTCCCACCTCACCCAGACGGCAGAAGACATTCGATGATTTTCCCCCTTAAAAAAAGACCCGGAACAACAATATATGGATTACACAAAGAGTTGCATGCAGTCAAAATCAGCAAAATTTTGAAGATCTATCACTCTCGAATAAACCCAGTAATTCTATGGAAATTCGGGATAATAAGTAGCCAATATTACTCTTAGAAAAGAAAAGAATGCTTATCAACGGTGAAAGAACTGTAGCAATCAGTCCATTAGTATTTGAGCATATTTGATGCAAACATGCAGTCAAATAATATAATAGTTGGAGTATGGAAACCAAACAAATGCATTAAGATGTACGATTCGGATACAATTTTCTGCTTCTGAGAGATTACGTAGCGAATAAGACGTTCTTTGATTGATATATATTTAGATATACATCTATAGATAGATATATTCTATAGATAGACTTCTCTCAAACGACTGGACCGATTTTGATGAAATTTTTTGTGTGTGTTCAAGGGGATCCGGGAATGGTTTAGATTCACAAATCAGCCCGCAGATGGCGCTGCAGTCGATGTTTAGGTTATTTATCATAAACAGCTGAACTAATTTGGATGAATTTTTGTTTATACATTCAAGTGGATATGAAGGACAACGTCTGTTGGGTCCGCTAGTATATTTAGATGTTTCCGAAATTAAAACTATAATCTGCTTATCATAATTTTTTCAATATTATGCTTGTCGAAAACAAAGATGTCTTTTAAACTCTCTATTACAGTCTCTGCGTTTTTTAGAAAAATGAAATCGGTAAACTAGACCCATTTTTGTGAAAATCGGCCTCTGAAAGATCAAAACAATGGAAAAACCTTAGGCTTATCCTAGGCAATAATATTCCAAGTTATTGCAAAAGGCTAATAACCGTTAATTACTTATGTTTACACATAAGTCTGAACTTTCAACTCGGCACGTGGCTTCTATAAAACTGACGCAACTTCTGAACCAAGAATTGTAGTCATCAGAAAATATGGGAATAAACATTGAAGATAAATTATTTCTTATTAATATTATTATGAAATAAACTCCATTTTTAGCAAAAATAGACAGAAAGAAAAGACCAGACAGACACGTATTCAATTAAAAAATTAAGTAGGCAACCTATTTTTGATCTCTTTACATTTCAGAAAAATTGTCGTTTACCTATCCACGATTCTTTGGAAATATGTATTTTTGAGTAACTTATAGAAGTAGGTACTTATTTAGCGTATAACTCGGGTCAACATCTATATGGTGTCCAAATCAAATGATAGTATCCAGCTTATGGTCTTAATTAGACCAATTAAATAAGATTTTTCTCAGAAACCTGTAAGTAGAAGCATACCTAAGTACCTACGGTAGGTACTAGTGCCACACAGAATTTGAAACCGAAAATAGTATTACTGAGCTAATCTTATATTATAGGAAAATAATTAATTAAGTTCCTACTAGACATTTAAGAATTTTATATTTTTTAGCCGATGAAGACGTTTTTATCTGAATGAGCCGTAGTAACGATAATTTAATTGAATACAAATTAGGAACGTTATCAGGCATTGTATCCCTGACCCAATATACTATTTTTTCTTACGTCAACATTGAGATGAAGATGAAATAGGATGACGAGTTCGGGAGTTAGTAGGTAAGTCAGTTTTGTTAAGTGTTAACAAACTTTAAGACCACAAAATGTAATTAATAAGAATATGTACATTATGACGAGAGATTTATAACTAACTAGGTATGTTCATGTTGTTTGAATTCCGCTTTATAACGGTTTAATGTTAATTATAATGATGAGACAGACTTAAAACATGTTGATAAGACCAAAATTCTAAGAAAGAAACAAAGATTTCAAACAAGGGCATTATAAATAGCTTAAATGTGTCACCAAACACTTGTTAAGTTAAGAAATACCTAAACCACTGGCTCAACCACTCAGGCATAGTCAATATATTTATTTTTTAATTTATATTGAGTCATCTGAAAGCCTGAAGATACATCACGTGTGACAAAGCTTAGCAAACAGGAAGTGCATGACAATCTGTTGCAGCAAACTAAACCAGTAAACCACGCGTTGGCATGTTAAACCAGAGATAAAAAACATTATCTAAACGAATGGCAGATTAAAAAGCATGATAGATAAAAATAAAAAGCCATAAATCTGACAGATGACATAAAAATTGGCGCCAAAGAGAAATTGGCGCCAATTTTGCTGCCATCTTTTTTTAGGTGCACAATGAAATTGTTGCCAAATGAAACTAAACTTAATATTGAATTAATATTAGTATATAGAATGAATGTAGTTATAAATACAAAGGTTTATCACCCCTGCTGCACTGATAAAACCATGTTAGGTCAAGTTCACAAGCTGTTTACTTTGTCGCGTTATTAGCAAAATGTGAAAAAAAATCAGTGTAATAGCCGCGTCGAAGCGGTATATAAGTATATAATGTGTTTTAATATGTTTTTGTATTATTTTATTGTTTTATTCACGTTCGTGTTGTGCTATAGTGAGGAGGATCTCGGATACAGTTTGAATATTGGAAACGCTATCGATGTGTTTGCGAAGTAAGTTTCGATGTAATTTGTTGTTTGTAAATATTATTATAGCTAGGTGTAATATTTAATATAGAAAATAATTGGTGTTATTGAATTGTATATGGGTGCCTCATAAACATTGGTTCCTTAATAAATAAAATGAGAACAAATAAAACCATATCCATAGTAAATTATTGTATTTAAGTAGCTTATTTTACTAAGGCTAGGAAGTGAGCTAAATAGTATGTCTTCGTCGTTAGGATTTTACGAGTTTATCTTGCGACAAGTTCTAAAAAACAAGATTCTAGATGTCTCTTTCTTTGTGTGTAAGTAAAAGTATCGATAAGTAAGTATAGATTTGTTTTTTGTCTACTGTATCACTTCAGTTTACTTTTTTGTTCTATAATATACCTACCGCCTTCGCCCGTGTGCTA